CTCCAAACCCTAGCCCGTCTGTCGTGAAGTCCACACAAAACCTTGACTCAGCAGTGAAGAGGACCGGGGTCCAATCATTAACTGCCAATGTGACATGAGTCTGCGCCCATTGCAAACGCTCTTGAATATGACGTTGTGTCAAAGGAATGCTAATTGCTGGTGTCCGTGACCTCAACCCATCATCATGCAACCTGTTGTGTGCTTACACGCACAGCAGTTGCATTCTGAAAGTCGTTACCTAAGGTCGTAGCGTTCGAGAAAGTTCGCACCTTTGCCTGAAGGACAATAATTCGGTCCTGGGCTTGAGTCGCTGAACGTTCCCGACCTCTGCGTGGTCCTGTAAGACATTTCAAGTCATTTGGAATCGGTTTCACATGCTGGAGACAACGCTCTGGGATACCCCAAGGACATGGACAACTTGCCTTTTTGACCGGCAGGTCTCCAACATTTCAATACCTCTGTTCATCTCATGTTCACTAAGAAGACGTCTAACCTGTCGATTTGCCATAGTTTGTTAATTTCGAACACAGTTTTACAATAAAACGAAAGAAGTCTTGCTGCTTGTACACGTTTAAGTGAAAGCACATGGTCATAAAACACCAAATTTCCATGGGTATGGTTTTCCGCGTGCTTATCGTGAAAGGTGTACATGACAAATCGATAACTTAAGTACACGATTATGAAGTCCCCGTACAAGTGTATCGTTAGCGGAAATATGATTTAAATATGATGATAATAGGACTGAAATAGGCAATGTCAAAAAGATGATCCTTAGCAAATTTTGAGTAGTTTATTTGGGACAGACATTAGATATTAGCATAAGTTATTAACAAATTTGAAATAATCTTTTCAAATGTGACTGTGGCAGCCAACCAATAACTTGAAAATGCTTTGATCTACAGCCCTAAGATTTGATTAGGGGATTAGTCACGACTAGCTCATGGTACCTTTTGTTTAATGTTAAGTTTATTAAAGGAAAGGTTACCTCATATTTGTCTAATAAATAATTTAAAAATGCTTTGGCTTTCAGACCTAGAATGTGGTGTGTAGTTTACTTATAAATAGAAGATGATCTGTATTGATTTTGAGGTCAATGAGTCAAGGTAGCTATGGCCTTGACCATTACAAGCTTTTCTGCCGAGTAATTAGGGAATTTGATTTGGCGGTAGGGTTTACACTAAGGGAGCATATTCACAAACACACATTTATGCTGAAGATGAAAATGTATTATTCCCGCGTTTTTAAAGCGTAGCGAATTAGCGGGAAAATAATTTCCTCTGATTGGTTAAGAACTGGTCAGTTTTGACCATAACAAGTAAACAATGAGATAAGTCATTCAGCGTTGAGTAGTCACACTAGCAACATTTTGTCAGACATTTTATTTTTCTCTATTTGTTATGGCTAATGATACTTTCAAGAAATTCTGCTGAAGGGAACAAAGACGAGATTTGAACTCTTTGAGAGAGGACGTTCGTGGAAATAATTTAAACGTGGCTAACGAAGTAAAAAAAATTGAACCATGGAAGAACAAGGGTAATAAAATTCAGTTTGCGTTCAATAGTGAAATTGCCGATACATGTTCTCACATTTCCTGGGCTATTTCAAACGTTGAAATACGCCAATGAACTTTTGAAAGAAGTTGACGATAAGACAAAGAAACGCAATAAATTGATAAGAATAGCAGACTCTTCAGAAGGGGGTTGCCAGACTGTTCAGCAGTATGAGAGTTATCCTATCGCTTCCGACAGTGAAGACGAATAAAAAATTGGCAAGGCTGAGAACAGGGCTTTACGTAACAGGAGACGTTACACGAACATGTCAAAAAGTTCGAGTTATGTTCCTTCTGGTTTTGATGGTAACAATTCTCAATCAAGTACACCAAGTTTGGCTGGAACATTGTCACCATGGGGTAGGCCAGGGACGTCTGGAGCATACGGGAAACAGAATTTTCATTCCTACTCAGCATTTCAGAGAAAAGGAACAAGATACCTAAGTATGGATATAGTCAGTGCATCATACATAAAAATTGTACTGAAAGCAGAGAGCAAATTAAGTTTTGGAGAGATAACATTTCATTTATTAATCAGAAATAACTCCCTCAGATTCATTAGAAGAAATGTTAAAACCCCAAATAAAAAGATAAAGGAAACTGCATATAAGACATATATATCTTATACCGATATATTCCTTATTTATCTACTATATTAGACATCAGGTTGAATATTGCTCCATAGTTTCTGTAAGTTGGACACATTTTAAAAACATGTAAATACAAAAACCCACAGCAAGAAACCGTTCTTTTTTCATTAAGACATTCTCATATACATTTAAAACGTGAAATTTTACGTAGATCGTTTATTAAGTTATTATCAACATTTTTACACAATAGTGTGTACGTTGTCATTGACAAATTGTAAATATTGTTTGAATGTTTTCAGAAAATACAAAACGTTAGACGACACCAAATGCATTTTTTTGAAAGCATCGGAAATGCCGCGGTCGGTAGTCTATATTGCATAATTTAAATCGCCTCGAAAGAAAAATAATCACAAAAAATCTACCTGAGCTGAGCTATTTTGGCCGAGTACGTTGACTTTTGTGGTCACGTGACCAAAGTTGCTTATCCAATGTAATAGATATGTTTAGAATATTGTTTGCACATTTAATAGGAGATTATAGAGAAGAATGTATTGAAGTATTATACAGTATCCCAATTCTTTTTTTTAAAATCTTTATAATTAAGGCTTTTTAATTTGTGTATGACATAGAAACAAAACAAAATAGAATGTGTAAAAGATGTGTGGAAATAAACATTATTGTATACTAGTGTCTACAATTTTGCTTCCATAGCATAAAAATTAAAATAAAGAAAGAAAAACATTTCTACATGACTGAAGTTTTTTCTGAAAAAAAGTGATTGTTTTAATAGGTTTTAAATGTTTTCCTAATACGTTTGTGGTGACAACACTAAAATTTCCCAAAATTAAATAGGCATTTTTTTAGCTTAAGAATTTTTTTTTAAGATAAATGATTTTTTTTACCTAATTGACATGCAAAATAGTTCTGTTACATGAATAATTTGTTTCATTCTGCTGTGCAGCAGATGTTGAGGATTAGATATTAATTTGCAGGGTTTCATTCTGTCTTAAATTAATACACTTAAACAATGGTTAGATAACTCATCTCTGTAGCAGTCTAGTATAGTCTGAGTGTCGACTGTTTGCCTGTATCCATTTCAAAATTTTGACTTTTGTATCTACTGTTTTATCTTTCGTGAATTTAAAGAGTTTTCCAGCCAACTAATACTTACACGACACTTTTGTCACTGAATTAATGAAAACAATCATTCCTCAGCAGCATTAAAGGTGGGAAGTTTATATTATAATAATATTATTGTCTATGAGATATATAAACAAAACAAAGTTGTATGTGACACAGTGTGTTAATTGATATGATTTCTTTAATTTGCCTCAAAGATATAAAAAAAACTTCTAAGAACTATCAATGATAGAGTAAAAACTAATACAGCTAGCACAGAAAGGGAACTTACTGGGTACTACAAAGTTTTGTGTTTTGCATGAGTCTCAAATATGCAATACCGATGTTGTTCATGTTGCTTAACTCCTCTACATAAAAACTCACAGAACTTGAATAATAAAAGAATAATAACTTACAACAGAGTATTGTTATCACAAGTAAGAATGGCTGCGAAAATTTAAAGCTTGGAATGAAAAAATCAATAACAGGGTGAAGTTATTTACTTAGACATCCTTAAAAGCTTGGTAAAACACAGCATTTATACAGGTTATAAATGGCTAACAGATCAACATGGAATCTTGTTAGATAATTTCAACAAGAATAAAGAGAATATTTCGAAGAAGTTGGTAGTTTGATCCCAAGAAGAGCAGTAGCTTGTCTATGATATTTTATAATACTGCACATTTGTAACATAGCTTGTCATTGTTTAAATGGCTGCTGTGAAATTCTAAAGTAATTTCATGTTTTCCTAAAAAAAAAAAAGTTTCCTGTATTATAAATTTGTTATAAAGATTCTTGACAGATTATATAAGTTTGTTTTTAATATAACCAGAGCAGCTATATACAAACAGCTGTTATATAGGGCCATATAACCTGTCAAAAAATCTTTATAACTAATATTGTACCCTGCTGAATAATCACACTATGATGTTATCCTGCTTTGAATATAGAATATTCAGACAATGTACATAAAAAGGCTTTCAGTATCTTTTGAGTAGCTGATAGTTAAATGAGTTCTGGTCAAATGGAGGTATAGGTCCTTAATCACCAAAGCAAGCATTCAGAGGTTTAACACAGACCTAAACCAGAATAACAGAAACAAACTACTGAAGATCTCAGCAATTTCAAATTAGAAGATCTGTCAAAAGTTAAAATGTTAACTTCTGGAGTTATTCATATTTTTACCAGATGAGTTTTAAACAATCTGTAATTGAGTAGGTTTCTTGTAGTGATATAGAAGAATCGTGAGGCAGTGTTTTTATCTAGAACTAGGTTTATTGTGTGACATCTGGGCATTTGTAAAGAAGTTAAATTTTAATTAATGTTACATACCTTTTGATGTTTTTATCATAAAAAACATCACAAATTTGTGAGATACATAAATTGTTTTCAAAAGTAAACATGTGAATGAAAGCTGACACATATGGTATCATAAACAGTTTTATGCATGACATATATGTAGCAAAGATTAAATGTTCGGTCAGTTTAAAAAGGGAAATAATCTGGGTTGTATGTGCTTCCATGTTAAAGTGTGAAATCCTTGGCCATATATCATACTGCCTTCCATCTTTACTTTCACTTTGCTCTCAGCAGCTTTTTTCTTATAACTCTTGATAGATTTCACCACAAATGAGGATTTAAAAAAAAAAGTTATTAGACATTTTTTACTATCAACTTTAATTGAATTGGTAAAATTGATCAATTAAGGAACAAGCTTTACCTATGGCTATAGCTCATAAAAAATGAAACAATTGCAATTTTCCCTTATTATTATTATTATTGTTATTTGTACAGGTGCATTAGCGGGTCTTATAGATATAGGTGCATCATGGTTGTCGGATATTAAGGAAGGTATTTGTAGAGATGCATTCTGGTTAAATAGAGAGCAGTGCTGCTGGTCGGCCAATGATACAACGTTAGACGAGGAACGATGCTCACAGGTACGTCAGTTTATTTATAGCTTTACTATTTGATGAATAAGGAGAGCTATTGTAATCATCAAGAGTCACACTTTGGTGAAGTTTTTTCGCATGTAGGTTTTTATCTCATAAACTACTGAAGGGAATCTGAATTTGTTGAAACTTCACACATTTATTTGGGAGCACAATAGAAGGTAACTGTCCAAGGGCCATAACTCTATCATGAATTTTGCCAGAAGTATGGCCCCTTTTTAACTTAGAAAGTTCTACATTATCCAGGCTCTAGTTTTACAATCAAGTATTGACAATACTCGAACTCATCAGGTTGGTAAAATGTAATTGTATATTTAGTTTAAACTGAGTATCTGTTGAAGGCTTGATATTTGCCGAAACGATTTACAATGTATCATGATAATTAAATCAGATAAAATTTGTTTTGTCTTAAACATCTATACAGTCAATTTATACTTTGAAATGTTACCATAATACATGTATGATGAATGGTTTAGTCCAGAATTAAAGATTGGCAAGTCCATTTAAGATAAATGAATTTAGCATGGGAAGGGGTAAACTTTGTTGTGAAGGTGTAGAAGTAAAAGAAATAGTCTCACTCTGAATATTTCTGTTTCTTATGCTATTTAATATTGATGAAACTGAAATAATTAAGGAAATATTTTGTTAGTATTTTCAGTATGAATATAACAGATAGTAATTTGTCATTTCAGTGGTATTCCTGGGCAGAAATGGTGGGTATAAAATCATCAGGAGGAGGGTCATATATCATCAAATATTTCTTCTACATCGTCTGGGGTTGTTTGTTCGCCTTCACGGCAGCCATGTTTGTTCGTGTATTTGCTCCTTATGCTTGTGGCTCTGGTATTCCTGAGGTAAGATAGTTCAAGATATATGAATTATGTTACCTTCAAAGTTAATTTGATTTCTTAGAAATGATACCTCTTTTTACATCTCTAGGCTTATTTAAAATACTTATTTTACTTTAAAAAAACATTGGAGAAATATAACAAAGTGATTAAAGAATTGGATTTTAAATCATCTATGTCAAATAAGTGAAGGGATGGATACATAGAGTTTCTGTTGAAAATAAAAGCTCTTGCTTAAGGTATGGTTAGTAAAGTCGTAAAATATTAAGGATAACTGTTTAAAGACATTGCAAATATTTTCTTACCTACAGTGCTGTCAATAAGTCCAAATGAACAACAAGTACTGTAGGATTTGCTGCTGGCATTATTTGCCAGTTTGTTTACTGTCATATGTGGTTGATCTCATTGGGAAGCACCCTGTAAAGTTAGTAGTTATTTTCAGGGTAGTGTATGATGCAGTAGTTGCCTAGTTTCAGAGGCAACGCTGGTTCTTTGATGTGTACTGTGTAGAACCATTATACATGATGTCTAGGTTATAAAATCTCATCCTAAAGACCATAAGTTACGTTAATAGAGGAGTGGGGGATCAAACCTGCGATCCCTGAAACACAAGTTATTACTATATGGGACCAAGGATCTGCATCAAACTGTATCTACATTATAAGCTCTTCTCTGTACTTTCCAGATTAAAACCATACTTAGTGGGTTCATTATTCGTGGGTATCTGGGTAAATGGACTCTGCTGACCAAGTCAGTGGGTATGATGCTGTCAGTAGCTGCAGGTTTGAGCCTCGGCAAGGAAGGACCCTATGTTCATGTTGCCTGTTGCTGTGGAAACATTTTCTCGTACTTGTTCCCAAAATATGGCAGTAATGAAGCCAAAAAAAGAGAGGTAATACATTTGTTGTCTTTTTTTGTAGGTTTAATATCTTGATAACATTTAGTTTTGTTTAAACATGTTTGTTATTGCTGAACTTTTGTACATGGTATTTCTCATTTTAATGTCACAAGAATGTTTTCTTTACTAAACCATTGCGAAATGTTTTAATGTGACCCTGTATAAGTCATTTTAAGTCTGCAGTGTGTTGCAGACAATTTATCATCTCTGTTTTGTAGTGGCAGTGTACAAATTGATATAATAGCCGCAGATTCTAGCTCTTAGATCATCCTGAATATCTCTGGAACATATACAATTATCTCCAGTTGAAACGTATATATTTATATCTAGGAAAAATGTAGACAGTTAATTGTTATTTCCAAGAATATTCAATTTGTCATAGTTATAGTTTACAAGGAAGATAGAATCTTGCATTGAAGAAAGACCAAGTTTAAACATTGTGTTGTTTAGATAGGAGAGATAGCTGAATGACCAAAGAATTGAAGGTTAAAAATAAGACATTTAACCCCTACCATGTTTAATATCTTAAATGAACTTGTTCATCATTCAATCTGGACAAAACAGTTCATCATTTTAAGGAAGATTTTAAAATATATACTAACTGAAAAGCAAACTGTGCAGGCATCACACGGCATAGATGTCCGATGATCTTGGTTTGCACTGGTTTCATGCGTATATTAGGTTGCCATCAGCATGCTAAAGGTTTAGGATCTTAAAGCCTTTTGCTATAAAAATTGCTAAAATTTTAAAACTTTTCTAAACATCTTGAAATGACTGCCGCAAGGGATATCATGGTACTAATATAATTAGAGTTATGTTGATGAATACAAATGCAATGTACATAACTGTATATAAACAACTTGTACACCTGTATATAAAGTCTATACCACTGTAAACTTGAATCTTGCCAAGGACAGTTGATTTTTTCATTTGACGAAGCTTGCAAAATAGCTTACAGAAGATTAATGGTTTTACTCTGGTGCCCACTTGTGCCTTAGGTAATTCGCAAAGTGGCATTTGAGATCTCATATAATAATTCACTAAATGATGACCTTTACAGTATTAGGGGCTTGACTTTTTTCCAAACAACAAGGTAAACTTCAAGACTATGTGTAATTTGAATTCATGATTTTGAGTTATCTAGTCAGTGCATTTAACACTTGATTCTTTGATTTAATAGGCAGGATCTTACCATGGTGTTGTATTATTTATCATTGTCTGTCTGTATTTAAGGTGTTATCAGCTGCATCTGCTGCAGGAGTACGTGTGGCCTTTGGTGCTGCCATTGATGGAGTACTCTTCAGTTTGGAGGAGGTGAGTGTTGGATGCTCAGCAAACTTTACTGTGCTTTGTAAAACACATGAAGCTTTTTGATGAGGCATATAGTCAGTGATTTTTCTCACTTAATTGGGAAGAGGCCTTATCCTCTTGATTTTTGGAAAAATTATCGCTAAAATTGCTAATTTGGGAAATAAAAAAGCAGGTTTTAGTTCAGATTTTTGAGAAAACTGCATTATTTTATGGAAAATTTCAATTGGGAAGAGGCCTTTTAGTTTCTGTTTTGTACTTTACTATAAACAGGAGTATCCTTTGGTGTTACAGTATTCATGTTTATCTGTCTATCCAGATTGCTAATAGAAAGTAGAAATTTCTACCCAGTCAGCCTACACATTCAAACTGTTTTTTTAAAACTTAAATTTATCAATTTAAGTCCTCCTTTTAAATAGTATTGAATATGACAGCTTTGAGGTACATGTCTCCAGATGAGCCATATTATTTCAAGAAAATCAGCCTTGTGTAAAATGTACTAAGATTTAAAGAAAAGTAAAAATATACACAATTTAATAGATAATTTACATGTTATGTGCAATAAATGACTGATTTCCAGCATATATTTATATTTATATATATGTCTACTGCGTCACTTAAACAGTAAAAGGGCTAGTTTTGCATATTCTCACATATGTTTGGTAATTTTCATGGTTTGCAATGTGTAAAATACTTCTTTTGTTCACTTGACAATACTTTACTTTTTAATACATTAAAAAAGAATATCATGAAATAAGGATGAGTCTGGAGGCATGCTGCTCTAAACTTGATCTTCTGTGTAACTATGTAATTAATACTGCAGAAAAAGTTAATTCACTGAATTATGAAACAATTTTTTTGTTGCTCTTTTCTTGTTAAGCTGTTATATACATTCTATTTCTGAATTAAAATTTACAATTTTGCTGCTTTAATTGAACAATTGCAATTTTATGATGACAGAAAAGTCAATACGATTTCCAGGAAATACAGTAGGGATTAAAAATTTGTAGCAAATAACAATCACATAATTGTTTGGTTTTTGTTTTTCTTTGCTTTTTTGTTTGTTTTCTGCCTGTCAGTTGATATCACCCATTGCCACAAAGGGCCTCAAATTTTATTTCCATTCAAAGTAGTGAGCAACCTTTGATTTATTGACATCAAATAACCGGCATTATAAATGTTGTTATAAGAAGAGTTATAAAAACAATCCCCTGTGTTTGTCATTAACATTAGAGGAAATGAAAATGATACCATAACAAATAATATATGATAAACAAGATCAACAAGGAAAGGCGGCGTTCAGTGAACGCAACCCCCACATGACCCAGCAACAAGAACCAACGGCAAGGAGCCCAGGCGGACCCCAAACATAAAAAGGACAGGGCAACGACACGTTAATCATTAAATGATAAATAATTTGTAACTGATTAGGAATTCAAAGAAAATAATAATAGGCCCACAAAGGGGAAGGGGGACAGAAGACCGGGGGAAGGGGGGGGGGATAATCAAAGAAATAAAAACTAGAGGCAATGGGGAAGATACTTACCGTAGACGAGAAAACAAACAAGGGACACAAGCAAAAGTGTCACCAAAACAGTATGAAACAACATAGACATACATCTGAGGAACACAGTGGGGCGCCGCCTTGGAACGGTCAGCAGCATAATAATGACTGCTGGGGAGTTTAAACCGGTTAATGGTGCACCAAACCTCGCTCTTAGCCCCACCATGTTCCTATAAACGAGACAGTGTAAATAAAATGAATCCCCGCCAAGTGAAATTCTAACAGTTGTCATGGTTACAAAAGGTTAAATAAGTAAAACACTAAAATGATCATGTAGAAACATATAAAAGTAAACCCAATGACCATAACAAAAGTACTCAATGTCCTAAAGGAAGACAGAGCAACAAGAAAATCACCTACAAGGGCCCGACGAAGCAAGGCAGAAGACGAACATTAAGACAATTTAGTCCCAAAGGGCTTTACGAACTATCCATCATAGAGCTCAGGCTAAATAATCTTGATATATTGATGGTTTTAATGAAATATAAACAGCTGGATGGAAGGAGGAAATTCAGTTGTTGTTTTTGCAGAATAGATTTTATTCCTACAAATTGCAGCATGAGATCAAGGTTTTAGGTCTGTAAAATATATATTTATACATAAAAGAGAAGGAGTGCTCTGTAAATCGCGTGTATTTAGCTCACCTGTCACAAAGTGACAGGGTGAGCTTTTGTGATCGCTTTTCGTCCGGCGTCCGTCCGTCCATCGTCCGTCCGTAAACTTTTACTTTAAATGACATCTCCTCATAAACCACTAAGCCAATTTCATCCAAACTTCACAGGAATGTTCCTTTGGTAGTCACCTTTGAAAATTGTTCAAAGAATTTAATTCCATGCAGAACTCTGGTTGCTATGGCAACCAAAAGAAAAAAAAATAAATATCTTCTTCTAAAAAACCCAAAGAGCTAGAGCTTAGATATTTGGCATGAAACATCTTCTAGTGAGTGTCTACCAAGGTTGTACAAATAAAAGCCCTAGGGTCAAAATTGGCCCCGCCCCAGGGGGTCATTGATTTTCCCTATATGCATATAGTAAAAACTTAAAAAACTTCTTTTAAAGAACCCAAAGAGCTAGAGCTAAGATATTTAGCATGAAACATCTACTAATGGGTTTCTACCAAGTTTGTTCAAATAAAAGCCCTGGGGTCAAAATTGGCCCCGCCCCAGGGGGTCATTGATTTTCCCTATATGCATATAGTAAAAACGTAAAAAATCTTCTTTAAAGAACCCAAAGGGCTAGAGCTAAGATATTTGGCATGAAACATGTTCTAATGGATGTCTACGAAGTTCATTCAAATAAGAGTCCTGGGGTCAAAATTGGCCCCGCCCCGAGGGTCATTGATTTTCCTTATATGTGTATTGCTAAAACTTAAAAAATCTTCTTTGAAAAAACACAAATAGCTAGAGTTTAGATACTAAACATGAAACATCTTCTAGTGAGTGTCTACCAACTTTGTTCAAATAAAAGCCCTGGGGTTAAAATTGGCCGCGTCCCAGGGGTCATTCATTTTCCTTATATGTGTATAACAAAAACTTAAAAAATCTTCTTTGAAAAAAACTCAAATAGCTAGAGTTTAGATATTAAGCAAGAAGCATTTTCTAGTGAGTGTCTACAAAGTTTGTTCAAATAAAAGCCCTGGGGTCAAAATTGGTCCCGCCCCAGGGGAAATTGATTTTCCTTTTATGTGTATAGCAAAAACTTAAAAATCTTCTTTGAAAAAACCCGAATAGCTAGAGTTTAGATATTAAGCATGAAAATTTTTCTAGTAGGTGTCTACAAAGAATGTTCAAATAAAAGCCCTTGGGTCAAAACTGGCCCTGCCCCAGGTGTGTCATTGTTTTTAACTATATGTGTAAAGAAAAAAACTTGAAAAAATCTTCTTTTAAAAAACCCAACGAGCTAGACCTTAGATGTTTAGCATGAAACATCTTCTGATGGTTGTCTTCCAAGTTTGTTCAAATAAAAGCCCTGGGGTTTAAACTGGCCCAGCTTAAACGGGCCTATATACAAGTGAGCGACTTCAGGGCCATCATGGCCCTCTTGTTATCTTGTCTGTTTTAAAGAAAAAGTCAAGATCGCTGCGTCGTTACTGTTGTCATCATTGTTTTGAATTTTTTTTAATGAAGCCATATTCAAAGATTTTAAAAGTTATGAATATACAGCTTTTATTGTGCCCCCACTTGAGTGGAGGGCATTTAGATTTACCTTGTCCGTCCGTCCGTCCGTTCACTTTTTTGTCGCACGTAACTCAAAAAGTATTTGACCTAGAGTCATGAAACTTTACTGGAATGTTGATCAGCATGTGTAGTTGTGCACCTGGGTATTTTCGTTTGGATATTTTTAGTATTTTAAGAGTTATTGCCCTTGACTTAGTAAAATTTTGCAATTTTCAGTTAGTGTCGCATGTAACTTAAAAAGTATTTGACCTAGAGTCATGAAACTTTACAGGAATGTTGATCAGCATGTGTTGTTGTGCACCTGGGTATTTTCGTCTGGATAATTTTAGTGTTTTAAGAGTTATTGCCCTTAACTTAGTAAAATTTTGCAATTTTCAACTTGTGTCGCACGTAACTCAAAAAGTATTTGACCTACAGTCATGAAACTTTACAGGAATGTTGATCAGCATGTGTAGTTGTGCACCTGGGTATTTTCGTCTGGATATATTTAGTATTTTTAGAATTATTGCCCTTGACTTAGTAAAATTTTGCAATTTTCAACTTGTGTCGCAAGTAACTCAAAAAGTATTTGACCTAGAGTCATGAAACTTTACAGGAATGTTGATCAGCATGTGTAGTATGTGTAACCTGGGTATTTTTGTTTGGATATTTTTAGTATTTTTAGAGTTATTGCCCTTGACTTAGTAATTTTTTTGCAATTTTCAACTTGTGTCGCACGTAACTCAAAAAGTATTTGACCTAGAGTCATGAAACTTAACAGGAATGTTGATCAGCATGTGTTGTTGTGCACCAGGTATTTTCGTCTGGATTATTTAGTATTTTTAGAGTCATTGCCCTTGACTTTGAAAGCAAGTTACTCAAAAAGGATTTGACATAGAGTCATTAAACCTTATGGGCAGGTTGCTCAGCATATTTAGATTTGCACCTGGGGTTTCGCTTGTGGATTTATCCAGTATTTGTAGAGTTATTTCCGTTGACTTAGTAAAAAGATTGACAGAACAGTGGCGCGGTGGGGGCACCCGTGTCCTATGGACACATTTCTAGTTCCTTGTGTATTCTGTCAATGTGAAGTTTTTGGACAAAGGGACATTATTCTGAATAATGATAATAATAATTTTAAGTTATATTCTTTGAGTTATGCCCCTTTTTAACTTTGAACTTTTGTCAAAAGTGATTATTTGGTGCTCTTGTTAATTAGAAGGCATTGATAAATGAATTTAAATAATAGAAATTTATCATATATGGTAAAGATTAAGATACAAATTTTGATTTTGAGAAGGCATCTATGGCTGAGTGGAAAATAATGCTTATATATACACTGTAGCCATGTTTTAATGCTCATGTTGGGGTCTAAGGCCTCTACACTGCTTTATAACAAGGTTATGATCATAAAAACTCATTGTGAAATTACCCCACCCTTGGCTGATACATATAACGCTTACAATTTTTACTAACCATTCAGTGAGTATTTACATTATATTTTTCTAAAACATTTTAATAATGTAAATATATATTAAATAATACTAATCATATTTAAAAGAAACAGAAAACTTCCAAAAGAAAAACATACATCACAAATGTAAACAGTTAGCTATTACAGTTTAAGTAAAAGCTTCCAGCTTTAGTTGTGTCCATTAGTTAATCAAACGCCATTTATTTCCTAGTTACAATATGAATTTGGATTTTACAATTTGATGCCTGACTGCTCGACAGGTAAAACAACATAAGAGCGGATTAACGCTAAACTGTGTATGCTTTTCACACTTTCTGCGCTCATAAGTGTCATGATTACTTTGTTTATTGTATTTGTCACATTGAGCAAACATTATATCAGATACGGTGCGTTATAACTTATAAATATGCATGAAATTTTTTTTATATCCTTGGCCAAAAATACTATTTTCGTTTTAGGAGTCGGGTCCTATGAGCGTTATACTGAGATTATCATTGTAACGGGGGTGGGGGGTTGGAAGAATTATAAAGGGGCTGCTGTGTATTGTTATCACAACATCCTACATCTAAGTTGGTTGATTTTTTTTTGTTGAGATAGTGTTCTGTCCTAGCACTGAGGTTATATAAGAAATTTTCTCAGCCGAAACTTAGATCTTGGGGTATTGAATTGGTCAGAAATGGGCACAGACTCTACACTGACCAATGGAAATCCTGAGATTCATGACAACTCAGAAAAATGTTGTTTTTTTATAGCCAGGCTGGGAGTCTTAAATAATGTATATAGCTTTATTTGCTTGTACAGATAGAAATTATATTTCATTATGACCATGATTTTGACTGTAGAACTTATTTTATTGCAAGCTACTGGACATGAAATACTGGGTAACGTATAGAATAAATATTCTTGCATATCAGACTGGCGTTTCCGTGAGTTTTACCCATGCCGGAAATTTCATCTGGCACGGGGGTGCCAGATGAGTCACGTGCTGTACAATGGCACGCTTAGGATGACGCCATTTTACCGTTATGAATGAAGTTGTATTTCATACGCTGTTGTAAGAAAGTAGTTAGGGTTGTAATGATATAAACTTTCATTGAAAATAAATATAAAGAATTTAAAATATAATAGAATGTGGAAGAATATGAAAGAAATAACATCTGACATATGTTTGCGGTTCGGATCGGAATATCCGTCCCTCAGTCACACGCCCATGGGCGGTAACTCGGCAAGCCTCGTTACTGCCCAATGGGCGTCTCACATCGGGACGGATATTCCGATCCGAACCGCAAAATATGACAGATATTATTAATCAGGCATATCTTAGAGTTTAAAATTGATCTATCTTCTATATTTTTCAGGTCAGTTATTATTTCCCACTGAAGACGTTATGGCGGTCATTCCTCTGTGCATTGGCTGCAGCATTTGTCTTACGGTCCATCAATCCATTTGGCAACGATCATCTTGTCATATTTTATATAGAATACAATGAGCCATGGTACCTGCAAGAACTTGTTCCATTCATCTTAATAGGGGCATTAGGGGTAAAAAACCTTGCTTTATTTATAGAATAGAAAGCCTTATTTAAAGAATAGAAAGACATTGATATGCAAAGGATTCAAATTTTACAGTCTAAAAACAGAGTTGATTAAACAATGCTTTCTTTCTTAGATGTGTAAAGTTTTTGTTTTTTAGCTCACCAGTCACAAATGTTCACCATTGTGAGGTGGAGTGTCACAGGCAAAATTCAGGTTCCAGGGGCTAAGGTCAAAGTACATATAGGGGTCAAAGTTAAAATAAAAAGCATCAAAATGTGTAAAGGCACCATTTAGGCATCATTTATTGAGAAGCCTTAAAAAGGTCATTTAGGAAAGTAAATCCTGGACTGACTTTACTGTCGGTTTTCTGTCCCACACAGGTCACAAAAAGTCCCATAGAATTGATACAAATAGTTTGTTAGTTTATGCATACTTATAAGAGGCTTCTGTGGTTAAGGTCATTTACTTCATACCACCACTGTAGGTTTGAATCCAGACAGAGACTTTGGATTCTTCCTCATGAGGAAGCTATCCAGGTAGTTTAGGGAATGTGCATAGTTCTACTAAGGTTGCTATTCGTCCCTGAAATAATGCTCGGAAGGTCACTTGAGGTGTTTCTGAACCAGTAAAACTGGAAAGTTGCCATATGACCTAAATAGCGTTGGTGAGATGTAAAACCCACGGAAATAAACAAAAACTAAACATCCCTATTCATGCTGAATGTGAAAACAAATTCTTGCAATTTATACATATATAAGATAGATTCTTGGAACTAACCAGTAAGTACTGTTGTCATATAAGTCATGTTAATTATCTGTTTGCAGGTACTTGTTGTAGCATTTATTACAACATTGTTAAGTTTTCCTAATCCATATACAAGAATGAACACGAGTGAAATGATACGACAGCTGGTCAGTAGATGTGGACCTGAAGATACAAATGATTTATGGTGTGTATTTTCTCTACATATTATTTTGATAAAATAGCTTACATATACATTAAATTTTAGTTATTGCCACCTGTGACTATAAACCAACATAACCAACATCTTAAAAATAGAGAAAAACTGTATCGAAAAGGTTATCCACATAAAAAGTGTCCGGTGCCAATCATGGAATCTTTTACCAGAGGGTGTCATATAAATTCTGACAGGGGTTAATGCACATTCAAGTTTTGCTATTTTTATGAGAGTGTTTGGTGTATTTTACTAGTTTTCCCAGAGTTTTATAAGTCAAAACATTTATTGTAAGTGAAAAAAAAAGTTAATATCCAGACCCCGATATATTATATATTATGAATATTTTAATACATACCAGCAAAATTCTAGGAAGGTCATGGCCATCCCTTCTGGCAAGATCTGTACATGATGTTATTGATTTTATATTCTTAGAAGAAAGTGCAACAGTACATAGATCCGCTGTTGAAGATATAACAATAAGTTCTTAAGGCTGCAAATGTGAAAAGCTCTGAGATTTTTGTCTTAAAGTGACAATGTGAGCTTTTGTGATCGCTTTTCATCTGGTGTCCGTCCGTGGCTCGTCCTTCCATCCATCCAAACTATCGAATAGGTCACCTTTGAAAATTGTTCAAAGAATTTAATTCCATGCAGACTCTGGTTGCCAGGACAACTGAATGAAAAAAATTAAAATGTCTTTTCTTTAAAAATCTAAAGAGCTAGAGCTTTGATATTTGGTGCGAAACATATTCTAGTGAGTGTGTCAAGTTTGTTTAAATAAAAGCCATGCAGGCAAAATGGTCACCGCCCCAGGGGGTCATTGATTTTCCTATATGTGTATAGTAAAAGCTTAAAAAAATCTTCTCTTTAAAAAATACAAAGAGCTAGAGCTTTGATATTTGGCATGAAACATCTTCTAGTGAGTGTCTACCAAATTTGTTCAAATTGGCACCTTCCCAGGATGGTCATTGTTTTTCCTTACATGTATAAAGTAAAATCTTACAAAAAAAATCTTCTTTTAAAAATCGAAAGAGCTAGAGCTTAGATATTTTGCATGAAACATCTTATTGTGGGTGTCTGTCAAGTTTGTTCAAATAAAAGCCCTGGGGTCAAAATTGGCCCCGTCCCAGGGGTTATTTATTTTCCTTATATGTATAGATAAAAAAAATAAAATCTTTTTTTTTTTAAAAAACCCAAAGAGCTAGAGCTGAGATTTTTCGCATGAAACATCTTCTAGTGCGTGTCTACCAAGTTTGTTCAAATAAAAGCCCTGGGATCAAAATTGGCCCCACCCAAGGACGGTCATTTTTTTTCTTTATATATTTCTGTATGTATAAAGTAAAAACTAAAAAAAAAACTCTTAAAAACCCAAAAAGCTAGAGCTCTTCATTTTCAAATTTTTCAGTTACGAGTGCCCGAGTTGAATTATGTTTGATTTCAAACTTTATATTTGAGCCTTTTGGAGCTCAGTGTAGATTCTTTAAATATGCATAACTATAATTATACCCCCGCACAACAAAGTTGTAAGGGGGGTATACTGGAATCAGCTTGTCTGTCCGGCCGTCGGGCTGTCTGTCCGAGCAAACATTTGATATTTATGAGCTTCATTCCATAGTTAAATAAAGAACAAAAACTCAAATTAAGAGCTAATTTTTTTTTATGAGCTAATTATGTCTCCCCCACCTCGGGGGGAGACATATTGTTTTTGCCCTGTCCGTCCGTCCGTCAGTCCGTCCGTCCGTCAGTCAGTCAGTCCGTCCGTCCATTCTTCGTTTCCGGACGATAACTAGAGTTCCTTTTGACCTACAGCTCTCAAACTTCATAGGATGAATGGTCTTATTGAGCAGATGATCCCTATTGTTTTTGGGGTCAGTAGTTCAAAGGTCAAGGTCACAGTGACCGTTGGTCAATTTCTCGTTTCCGGATGATAACTAGAGTTCCTTTTGACCTACAGCCCTCAAACTTCATAGGATGATTGGTCTTATAGAGCTGATGATCCCTATTGTTTTTGGGGTCAGTAGGTCAAAGGTCAAGGTCACACTGACCGTTGGTCAATTTCTCGTTTCCGGATGATAACTAGAGTTCCTTTAGACCTACAGACCTCAAACTTCATAGGATGATTGGTCTTATTGAGCAGATGATCCCTATTGTTTTTGGGGTCAGTAGTTCAAAGGTCAAGGTCACAGTGACCGTTGGTCAATTTCTCGTTTCCGGATGATAACTAGAGTTCCTTTTGACCTACAGCCTCAAACTTCATAGGATGATTGGTCTTATAGAGCAGATGATCCCTATTGTTTTTGGGGTCAGTAGGTCAAAGGTCAAGGTCACAGTGACCGTTGGTCAATTTCTCATTTCCGGATGATAACTAGAGTTCCTTTTGACCTACAACCCTCAAACTTCATAGGATGATTGGTCTTATTAATCAAATGATCCCTATTGTTTTAATGGTCAGTAGGTCAAAGGTCAAGGTCACAGCGACCGTTGGTTAATTTCTCCTTTCCGGATGATAACTAGAGTTCCTTTAGACCTACAACCCTCAAACTTCATAGGATGATTGGTCTTATTGAGCAGATGATCCCTCTTGTTTATGGGGTCAGTAGGTCAAAGGTTAAGGTCACAGTGACCATTGGTCATTTTCTCATTTCCGGATGATAACTAGAGTTCTTAACCTTAACAATAGAAACCATCCATAGACAGCCTTCATTGAAGTGACTACCGGGTATTTACATTATCTTATCTCCATTTCCATTCCTGTTTCCATTCACAGTTATTCTCAGCAGTGGGGGAGACATGCGCTTTTTTACAAAAGCATCCTCTAGTTTTGCTTATGGACGTTGGTCCAGGTGGTGTTTATGAGCTGATTTGCCTCATAAATATCAAAAGTTAGTCCATCCTGCCGTCCGTTGGTTTTTCTTGTCCGCCCAATAACTTAAGATTCCTTTGACCGACAGTCTTCATATTTGGCATGGAGGTTAGTCATGATTAGTAGATGACCCCTATTGATTTTGAGGTCACCAGGTCAAAGGTCAAGGTCACAGGGGCCTTGACATCAAAAAGCTTGTCCGCCCAATAACTTAAGATTCCTTTGACCCACAGTCTTCATATTTGGCATGGAGGTTAGTCATGCTTAGTAGATGACCCCTATTGATTTTGAGGTCACCAGGTCAAAGGTCAAGGTCACAGGGGCCTTGACTTCAAAATCAAAAAGCTTGTCTGCCCAATAACTTAAGATTCCTTTGACCCACAGTCTTTATATTTGGCATGGAGGTTAGTCATGATAAGTAGATGACGCCTATTGATTTTGAGGTCACCAGGCCAAAGGTCACAGGGGCCTTGACTTCAAAAAGCTTGTCAGCCAAATAACTTGATTCCTATGACCCACAGTCTTCATATTTGGCATGGAGGTTAGTCATGATTAGTAGATGACCCCTATTGATTTTGAGATCACCGGGTCAAAGGTCAAGGTCACAGGGGCTTTGACTTCAAAAAGCTTGTCCGCCAAATAACTTAAGGTTCCTTTGACCCACAGTCTTCATATTTGGCATGGATGTCAGTCATGATTAGTAGATGACCCGTATTGATTTTGAGGTCACCGGGTCAAAGGTCAAGGTCACAGGGGCCTTGACTTCAAAAAGCTTGTCCGCCCAATAACTTAGGGTTCCTATGACCCACAGTCTTCATATTTGGCATGGAGGTTAGTCATTATTAGTAGATGACCCCTATTGATTTTGAGGTCACTGGGTCAAAGGTCAAGGTCACAGGGACCTTGTCAAAATAAAGCTTTTCCTCTCAATTGCTTCAGAATGCCTGTCCAGAGTGTATTGATTTTGACATTTTCACATTTGAAGCATGTAGAATACATAACTTAGCAATGCACTGGCTTAGTAACCTCAGATTTGGCAGGGAGGTTTTCCTTGAGTTCTAAATGGCCACTGTTGATTCTGACAAAGTGATATGCGGGGCTATTCACGCCATGATAGTGGCAGTTCTAGTTAAATTATAGTTCTATAAACTTGTCAACTTACAAGCTGTCTTGCAAGAAAATCATGAGCACTTAAGACTAAACAATACAGCTTTCATATATTGCTATTTCAGTGATTATCAAAGAAATTTTACGGATCCAAAGTCATACATGTCAAGTACATTTGCTGGGGATGGTGTGAAGAGAGCAATATGGCAACTTGTCCTGGCTCTTTTATTCAAGGGAATAATTACTGTGTTCACATTTGGTATGAAGGTAAGATTGTGACAGATATTATGTTATTGTCTTAACTCTAGCCCAAACACAATCTGACAAATATTCAGATCTACTTAAGTTATATCTTGCATGTAGATCTGATTGCCACCGTATTTGTTTCACCTTCATTTTGATTTGGATTTCCCAAGAAAGCTATTTTTTTTATTATTTAGCCATGCAATCAAACTGTCCTTTACAGAATGTCCAAAATATGTCTGTCTGTGGAAGTAAAACAAATTGTTGATTTTAGTTTGAGAAAAAAAAATGTTTGAAGTAATTTGACAAATAAACTGGAAAAAGTAGTCTCAACTTTAATTGGGCAGGATTGAATCACATAAATCTTTGGTTGATTGTACATATATTTTTTATGATTCAAATGAATGACGCACACGGTTTTAGAGCAAGAAGATTTATTATATAATTAATGTATGATTTGTTAATTATGACACATATATATAGTAAAGCTATTAACAATATGCATGTATAAAAATGTACAATCATTGGTCAGTATGTAAAGATGATTGATTGCAGTTTCTATTATTATATCTCCACAAATGAAGTTTATGGGGGTATAATTATAGGTGTCTGCTTGCAGGTAGGATTTTTGGTCTTTGGTTTTAGGACGATAACTAGAGTTTGGAATGAGATATTGCAAACTTGGTATATAGCAACCTAGTGTGGAAACTCTGGTTGGTATTTCATTTGGACCCCTGGGCGAAGTTTAAGGTCACCATTACTAAAATAGAAAAATGGTTTCTGGACAATAACTTGAGTTAGGAATAAGATATTGTAATCAAATTAGGCTTATAGCAAGCTTATATGAAGACCTCGAATGGTATTGCATTTGGACCCCCTTTGGTCAAGGTCAAGGTCACTGTTGCCGAAAACAGAAAATTTGTTTCCAGACAATAACTAGAGTTTGGAATGAGATATTGTAGTTAAACTTGGCTTAAACCAAGCTTATATAAAGACCCCAGTTGATGTTGCACTTGGACCCCCTGGGTTCAAGGTAACTATTTTTAAAAATAGAAAAATGGTTTTCAGGCAATATCTAGAGTTAGGAGGAATAAGATATTACTCTCAAATTTAGTATAAAGCAAGTTTATATAAAGATCCTGGTTGGCATTGCAATTAATTGAAATTCTTTGTACACAGTTGATACTTCATAAATTATATGTTTTCTTCAAAAAAGTCAAAGTTTCTGGTGGAGATATTAATCACATTAAGTGTAAGCCTAAGTTACTCTTTATATTTATGATTGTGAAAATGGTTGTTGACTGATGATATAAAAAGCTGGACAGCCCAGTTTGCAGGAGAATTAAGTGGAGTTGAGCAGACGAAAAATTATGCTCAACACTTAGATTGTAGTTGCTTAGCATTAGTTCAGAGCTGATTTCATCAGATTGATTTTGTGACAGATATTAGTTTATTCGCTGAATGTATATTGTGACAATGGATTGTTTATTAAGCCACTAGTCCAGAAGTAAAAAGATACACCAGTTGGTGAAGTAAAAGTTTTTAACAAAAAAAACAACAACAAAAAAACAACAAACAAAAAAGCAGTAAAAAAACAACATTTAGGCAACAACTGTCACAGTTCAAATTTATGTAAGATAGCTGCAACTACTTGTGTGCAAGTATGTTAAATGATGGTGGCTTGCTGTTGCTATAAGCTTGTTATAAGCTCACCAAGGGTGTTTATGCTTTACCAATCTGGATGATAAAAACTTCAATATTGTAACTGATTCCAGTGAGGAATAGTTTATTTGTTTACAGAGGTACTGTAAATAACAGTCACCAGTTCTTAATAAGAACTATCTATCATAATAAAGTAAATCCCTATACATTTGTTAATATCTTGTCTGTCTTTGAAGAAAAAATTCTTTCATTAATTAGACAGTTTGAAGAGGTTTATAAAGTTACATTCTGGAATAACACTGCTACTTGTGTACAATGTACATGTTTCAGCAGACCAGCAGACAGCTCGAGGCCATTGTATATCCTTTACAACAACTTGTCCTTTACTACAGTCTCCTGATATCTCTTCTATGGTAGGGTTTTCTATACAAACAAACACGGTCCCATCATCTGACATTGTCAAGCCACATGGAGATTCTTTACACACATATTTACCTCTCACCTCACACTGCCAGTTTAACTTGGTAACTGTTTTTAATACATAATCAGATACAAAGATACAATTGTCACTTGTTGTAATATAGTTTGGATTTTTGAAAATATTTTCATCTTGTATTGTCTGTAATACAGTGCCATTGATAAGAAGGATTTGAACTTTAGCTGGATCTTGGTATGACACCACCATTTTATCTTTATGACAGCTTATACCATAACATATTCCATCAACCTTTAGAGTGTGCTTCTGCATGAGATTATTTCTAGAAACAGAAAAGAACTGAATAGTTTGATGAAATGGCAATGTGACAGCAACTTCATTTTGTGAAACTGTTGTGACATCATAAGGTTCACTATCAAACTTATGCGGAGCTTGAACAGATTTGCTACTGATATCAACTATTTTCATGGCCATGTTGTTATAATCTGTGATGATAAGAAGATCAGGAGTAAGGAGAGTCATTCCTGATATATTACAATCAATGGTGTCTTTTGATGTTTTGATGCCGATTTTATCCATTTGTGAACATTGTCTGGACCTTAAAGCAGGAGATAATATTCTACCTTTCAGTGTCCCCAGTGACTTTTCTTTTTCAAGAAGATTTGATATTACCTCGTTTGGTTCAAACTTATACCCTTTGACTTCAAATTTAGAGAGCTTAGAAACAATCTGTTTATAATCTTTTATCATCTGTTGTGCATGTTTTAGTTCTATGAACAAATCATTGGCTTGTTTGGAAGTGTTGAGATTTTTAATGACATCAGAGGATGACTTTAATGATTTAAGTACATCTCCACATGCTGTTTCTACAGTCTTCAGATTCTTGCTATTGTCCTCTTGGATGACTTTTGCAGCCATTTTGACTTGTCTTTCCATTTCATCTAGTCTTTGGTTGATTTCTTTTCGGAATTTCAATATGTCTGTCAATGCTTCTGTCAAAGACTTGTTTGATAACTCATTCAATTTCTTCATGTCTTGAAGTATTTTGCTTGATCTCTCAGTCATGTCGTTCAAATCCTTCAATACATCTTGATATTCTGTGCTATCGATGGTCTTGCCTGAAATGTCAGGTATATAGTTGACATTGCAAGATGTTACTGTATGCTCAAGTGTAACACAAACACTGCAAAGTAGAGCCTTATGATCATGGCAGTAAAACTTGATCATCTCAATGTTGTGTTTAGGACATTGTTTTGTGAAGATATCTGGTTGTCTTGGTGTTGCAGGTGACATGGTCTGAGGCATATTGGTTTTGTCTAGTAAGGTATGGTGTCTTGACAATGTGTGTCTTCTGTGGAGGGTAAAACATGTTTCACACAAATGCTCTGAGCAGTTTGTACAATAGCCATGGGTAGGAAGTCTAGGTCCATCACGATCACATGGCTGACAGTAAACTTTGAGATCTTCATCAGAACCCATAGAAGTTGTTGAAGATGAAAATTTTTTGGTGGCTTTTTTACCTTGGACAGCCATGATTTCACTGAAACATAAAAAAAACAAAATAAATGAATTACCATGTTTAATGATTTTGAGAGTTAATAATAGTTTAAAATGAATACTTTGTACAGTAAGACAAGTGTTGCATGATGCTAAATAATGTTTAAGTGTTAGGCAAACAGGAATTGCAGGAATGTTTGTCTCTTTGAAGATACAGTCTCAAAAGCTCAGTTTATTGTGGTCAATCTTTCATTGAGCGACTTCTTTTACCTGTGAAGTGTTTGTGATTTAAAGATCAGTGCCTCATGAGATCAGAAGTTTCAACAATCAAAACCCAATACATGTGAGAAAAACATAAATTTCAAAACCAGAGCATATGCAAATGAAGTATACATGTGATTTTTCAAAAAAATTGATAAATCAAATCAAAGCTTCGCCCCTACTGTGATTTTGTATACGCTACTCTGTTGATATTTAGACAGCTTTGAATTGGCATTGAGCTTGATCAGCAGTTAAAATTGACCTTGAGTTTGATCAGCAGTTAAAATTGACCTTGAACTTGATCAGCAGTAAAAATTGATATTGAACCTGATCAGCAGTTAAAATTTAGCTTGATCAGCAGTTAAAATTGACATTCAGATTAATCAGCAGTTAAAATTGACATTGAACTTGATCAGCAGTTAAAATTGACATTGGGCTTGATTGACCTTGAGCTTGATCAGCAGTAAAAATTGACCTTGAGCTTGATAAGCAGTTAAAATTCACATTGAACTTGATCAGCAGTTAAAATTGACTTTGGTCTTGATCAGCAGTTAAAATTCACATTGAACCTAATCAGCAGTTAAAATTCACATTGAACTTGATCAGGATTTAAAATTGACAATGATCTGCAGTTAAAATTGACATTAAAATTAATCATTATTGAAAACTGACATTGAACTTGATCAGCAGTTAAAATTGTCATTGAACTTGATCAGCTTTTAAATGAATTAATTGTTGTAATTAGACATAAATTGTTTATTTCAAATGAGAAATACACAATAAAAAGCATCACTACTGATACGTCAGGGACATGTAAAAAAAAAAATTAAAGATACACTATGCTTATCTTTGGGTAAAATATTTTTATCTTAGAAATGTATTGAAATCCACGAAATTCTTACTGAATATGTTTAATTTGAATAAAATAATGAATAAACTATGTATGGGAAGCTGCATTCCCTATTACAGGTCATTGAGGAAAGTTGGTCTCTTCTTATAAAAAACTGCCAGTTTTTTTAATGACACTATATATTCATATTGTGACCACCTATAGTGTGTAGAGTTTAAAACATAACATAATTATCTACTTTAAATGAAGTCAAAACATGTTTATTTTATACATGTACATACAAATAGACTGTGTAGCAATTAAATTACCATTTTTAAAAATCAAATTTGAGCATAGTATATCTTTAAGGAGTCTGAGCTTAAAAATTCTTGAAAATCAAACATGTTTGAAATGGATCAAAACCGTTTTGCATGTTATTAAATATTAGGAAGTCATTTTTATATGCCCAAAAGAATTTCAGTGTATATTGTTACATACACCTTGCTTGTCCACTCTATATCTTTTGAACTGATAGAAATATTAATTATATCGAGACAATGTGCAGAACACAAGTTTGGAATTTTTGATTTCCTACAATTAAAATTGGCCCCACCCTGGAGATAAATTTATTTATATAGACTTATATAGGCGTTTGCGTGTCCGGTCTGTATCTTTTGAACCGGTGAAAAGAAATTAAAGCTACTTGGCAGAAATATTAATTATAATGAGACGATGTGCAGAGTGCAGTTTTCACCTTTCTCAGGTCTAGGTTACATTTAGTCAATTTATTTCAGTATCAAATTTTTTGTCCGCTCTGTATCTTTAGAACCGATAAAAAGAAATTAAAACTTTTTTATGCCCCCACCGTATCATGGCTGGGACATATAGTGTTACCCTGTTCTGTCCTTCCATCCTGACCCGTCTTTCCATCATTCTGTCATTCCGTCATTATCATTTTCCGTTCATTATCTAAGTACGGTTGCACACATTCAACTCAAACTTGACATATGGTTATGTCATAAGAAAATACAGGTTAAGTTCGAATTTGGTCATGGTTCAATGGTTTTTAACAGAGTTATGCCCCTTTTACTTTGAAAATAATATAAAATTTTCAGTTTCCGTTCATTATCTCCCCAACGGTATTACACATTCAACTCAAACTTGACATATGGATATGTCATGAGAAAATACAGGTCAAATTTTGAATTTGGTCATGGTTTGATGATTTTTGGCAGAGTTATGCCCCTTTTACTTTGAAAATAATATGAAATTTTCAGTTACCATTCATTATCTCCCCAACAGTATTACACATTCAACTCAAACTTGAAATATGGATACGTCATAGGAAAATTCAGGTCAAGTTAGAATTTGATCATAGTTTGAGTTTTGCCCCTTTTACTTCAAAAATAATATGAAATTTTCAGTTTCCGCTAATTATCTCCCCAACAGTATTACACATTCAACTCAAACTTGACATATGGATACGTCAAACGAATGGGTAGGTCAAGTTTTGTATTTGGTCATGGTTCAATGATTTTTAGGAGAGTTATACCCCTTTCACTTTGAAAATAATATAAAATTTTCAGTTTCCGTTCAGTATCTCCCCAACAGTATTACACATTCAACTCAAATTTAATATATGGATACGTCAAAGGAATTTGCAGGTCAAGTTTGAATTTGGTCATGGTTCGATGATTTTTGGCAGAGTTATGTCCCTTTCACTTTGGAAATAATATGAAATTTTCAGTTTCCGCTCATTATCTCCTCTTGGGTATTACACATTCAACTGAAATTTCACAAGAATTGCCCACGTAAAGTTCGAATTTTATCATGGTTCTATGATTTTTGGAAGAGTAATTCCCCTTTAACTTTGAAAAAAAAGGAAATTTTCAGTTCCCTTTCATTATCTCACCAACAGTTGTACATATTTAACTCAAATTAAAGATATGGATATGTCATAAGAATGCATTGGTCAATTTCAAATTTGGTCATTGTTTGATCCTAGCTGACAGAGTTTTCCCTCTTGAACTTTGAAAAAATCAGAAATTTTAAGTTTCCTTTCATTATCTCCCCAATGGTTGTACACATTCAACTCAAATTTGACATATAGATACATCTTACTAATAAGCAGTTCAAGTTTGAATTTGGTCGTGGTTCAATGACTTTGGACAAAGTTATCTTTTTTGAATGTTGGAAAAATTTTGAATTTTCAGTTTCAGCACTCATACTTATGTGGATATATGCAATATGCAATTTACAAAAGGTTAACACTGAATAGTTTCAGTGCCTTGAATGTTGTATAAAAATGGTTTGTGTTAACATTGAATAGTTTTAAGGGCTTTGAACTTAAAATGAAAAAAAAAAAAATTGTGCAATCAAATTTGGAACTAAATATTATAACATATGAAATTTTGGCTGCATGCTGGGGCATCCGTGGCGTGACAACACATTTCCAGTTGCAAGTATCACTTATATTAAGACGGTGCGCAAAACTTAAAGCTTTGGCAGGAAAATTACTTATATTAAGACGGTGTGCAGGAAACAGTTTCGGGCATCCGTGGCCGAGTGGTTAAGGTCGTTGACTTCAAACCACTTGCCCCTCACCGCTGTAGGTTCGAATCCCGACAGGGACTTTGGATTCTTTCATGTGAGGAAGCTATCCAGCTAGCTTAAGGAACGTCTGTGGTTCTACCCTGAGGTGCCTGTTCGTGCCTTGAATAATGCACGAAAGGGCACCTGAGGTCTTCCTCCACCAGAAAAGCTGGAACGTCGCGCTATGACCTATACTGTGTCGATGTGACGTAAAACCCAATCAAAAACAAAAAAAAGGAAACAGATTCAAACTTCTTAAGATCAAAATTGTAAATGAGCCATTGCATATAAAATGTCTTTTTTTAAAGGTAATTTATTTCAATTTGGACATGAAAACTGTTTTTCTCATATCATGAATCAGTATTCTTAATATTGAAAAGAACTGATAATATATGTTCACTAGGGTTTGAGAATCCAGTATTTAAATTTAAAATT